ATTTATTATTATACATCTACTATACAAATAAATAAATATATAACATAATATAATAGTGTGGACGATAATGGACTTTTACTATCTAGTCTTCCTGAGCCATAAGGAAGACTAGTTGGTCAATTCCTAGGGGGTATAGCATTGAACAGTGTTAATGCACCATCTCCATGGTCTCCACCTTTTCTTGTCTCTTCAATTAGTCCAATTCCAACATGTATCCTATACTAATTGGCACGCAGGCCTAAATGAAATTGGACTCGCAGGCCCATATAATAATAATGGACTCCCAGGTCCAAAATAATAACAATAATAACGGCTCGCAGGCTCAAAACGACAAAATAAAAATTAACCATTCAACACATCCATATGGTCGAGTCCATAATCGTCCACTAATAATACATTCATCACATAAATGTATACCTATATAATATCTAATATTATATGCAAATAAGTTTCAAGTTTCTAGCAATCAAGTTGTCTAAACTTTTTTAGACAAATCGGACTAATTAAATGATTAATTAATCATATTAATCGATTATTTAATCAGCGAGAATATTTAATTAAAATCAAATTTTAATTAAATAACAAATTAGAATCTAACTCTAATTCAACAATTATATGGCGGGATAATTTAATTAAAATCAAATTTTAATTAAAAATCAAATTAGAGTCAAACTCTAATTTCACATTTTAAGGCAATGGAATTTAATTAAAATCAAATTTTAATTAAATAAAAAAATTAGAGTCTAACTCTAATTCCAATAATTAAGGGTGAATTAATTTAATTAAAATCAAAATTTTAATTAAATACCAAATTAGAGTCCAACTCTAATTTCAAGAAGAAATTTAGGGCGAGGCAATTTAATTAAAATCAAATTTTAATTAAACGTCAAATTAGAATCTAATTCTAATATCTAAAATATCCTTGGGTGAATAATTTAATTAAAATCAAATTTTAATTAAACACTAAATCAAAATCCAATTCTAACTTAAATTGAATTAAGATTTTAATTTAGGATAAAACTCCTAAATAAAATAGAATTCAATTTAGGGTCAAAGTTTAATATTTAAGTCAAAATCCAATTTTAACAAAAATATAAAAAAGTCGCCAATTTTAAATAAAATTTTAATTTGGGTCAAAATCAAAATTATGGGTCGAACCCAATTAAAATTAATTTTAAAACCATTTCAAAATTGAAATTCAAAACCATTTTGAAAACTTGCAAATTGACCCAAGTTTGAAATTAACATCAGACCCTTCCAAAATTTAAAATTGTAGAACAAGTCCCCTTTTAAAATATTGCAAACTGACCCCTTGGCAAGTTATCAACAGGGCCCTCAAGATTATAAAATTGCACAGCAGTCCTTCTTTAAAATTACAACTTGACCCCTTTCATAATATTGCAAGCGGGGGCCTACAATTTCAAAAATTACAACTGAGGCCCCCGCCTCCAAATCTGTCACCCGGTTTTCTGAAAACCCTAAAGCCGTTTTTTTTGCCGCTACAGCAGCATGAAAACGCTGGTCACAGAGCAGCGTTTTCAATCTGCTGTGTAGGCAGCAGGCGCCGCTGCCTGGTGCAGCGGCAACCGTTGCCTCTGCGACGCGCAGCGGCGACTTCTTCCTATCGGCAACAGTTGCCGATTTTCAGTTTTACAATTTTTATTTTTTTTTTATATTCAAAACAATTTTGAACACAAAATAAATCTTCAATTGCTAGAAACAATAAAACATGAATAATCAACTTTTGATTTCAATAATATGCAAATCAATTTCTAACAAACACAAAGTAGGCTCTGATACGTGTGTTGGGAATCTACTTATACATGCACAGCGGAATTTAAAATAATTTTCGATTCCTACCAAGAATCGCCTTTGTGTTTAGATAGAAATTGTGATAAGGATTGTACTTTTGAAGAATTCTGCAATCCTTTTACTTTTCTTTTCGTTCCATCAACCTTGATTCGTCACCACAGCTGTCCAATTGTCCAACCTCCAATGGTGATCCACACAGAGAATAAGATTGTAGCTTTTAGGGTTTTCCTTGTACCAGCAAGAATAATGAAAATCATATGGACCTCAAACCCTAGCTATATATTTATATAAACTCAAACAGGCTCGGCTCCATCCGGTCCAATATTTAATTAATCCAATTAATTAAACTCGGCCCGTGAATTAATTAATCAAATTAATTAATTCGGGAATATAAATAACAAATCCAATTAATTAATTTATCCAACGATTGTTAAATTAACCAATTGACAATTTCCAATCTTCCAATTCTCTTTTGTGTGCGACACATTAGGTTCTCGACCACGATACCTCACGACGTGAAATATTATTTTGATCTAATCAAAATTGATAAATTAAAACACCATTTTAATTTATCGTCAATTCACACTCTCCGTCCCTGATTGACATCTAGCAATGTATCAGGGCAATACATGTGACGAAAAATGTCACGTGGTATGACAAAACCAAATTCGTTCGTTTTCCCTGAAACTATAATCCCTTCGTCAATATGATCCGATCAATTACGAGATATGGAATTGTGTCAATCTCGATCATCGATCATATCTTTCAGTCCACTATTAAGTCAATATAAGTCGAAAACTCCTTTTCGACTTATGAGTACACCTTGGCCAAGGATTTCATCATCGACTTAATTGAATGAAACGCAGATCATAATCTCCTACTATCTAAGAGTGACGAATCCTTTATTGATCAATCACAACCTTCATACGATTCTTAACGTACCCGAACGATGTCGTATTAGCAGCCCTTTTCAGAGCAACATCCAACACCGCCAAAGTATGACTGTTCTCATATAAGGTACCATAACGACCTCAAGTTAAAGGACCAATTCCACTACCGAATGTTAGAGATTAACCACTGACACTCAGATAGTTATCCATGTGGAATCTCTCGACGGGTCTCTAATGTTTTGTTCTATAACAAAACATCCACGTGTTCATTTAAGTTTCACCACAATTTAACTTGTGAGATCAGCTACTTACTTCATAAGTAAGAAATGCCACACGTGATGGTCTATCCGTAATAACGATATCCGTATCTCGTTATTACTTACGACCACGGATGATTTAAGATTCAATCAGATGTAATTTGAATCTCACAATTACAACTCCTTGTGATTAACAAATTACAAATATTTGAATCTACGGACTCTATTATTTATTTAATTGTCTATTAATTAAATAATAGATCTGTCATTTAATTGCATTAATTATATATAAAAGTATTTATGTCCAAAGTTGATTGGACCTAGGGCATAATACTTACAACATGTATATTACAACTTACAAATTTATTTATCAATAAATGATGTGGCGAGATTTGGTTGGGTCAAAATATCATCAATCAAATTAAAAAATAAAATAAAATAACCTTTTCCATTATCTTTTTGATACTTCATCAATTTGCAGAAAAAATATGTAACTGGGAATGTACAACAAGCATTCTCCTTTATATGAATAGAGTAGCTGAAGTATTATGAATACTAATGTCACTTCTTGTTCATTTGCTTTGTAGATTAGCCGTTTCACACATCTGTATTTTGTGCTCCTTGAAATTTTTGGAGCATCAAGTTTGTTTTCTCTCAAATCGATCAATACTAATGAGTGATCTTAGCCTCATGTTTTTGTATATGTACAGTAGGGATATCATACTTGTCCATGCTCAAGTTACAACATATTATTCCTAGAGATCTATGGACGGCTTCAGTACCCAACCATCCATAAAATCCATCTGTATGTAACGTTCAATTGTGCTAAGCTAATAATCCATGATCTTTTTGATTCAAAATCTATGTCAAGTCATACGGCATCATATAGTCCTTTCATGTTTCCAGAAAATTGAAGGTGTCCAAAATTGGAGTGGTTTTGATAGTCATACGGTTGTTCAAAGCTGATAACATTATATCCGTGTCTTCTATATAACTGTTTAAAATTGCGACGATTGTCATATACAATCATATTGTTTATTACATGAGTAGAAATATTTGATATTATCGTTGTCCATGGTTTAACCATTCTGTAACCATTGGTGTTTGGTTTCATGTGTATCTGCTTTAACAATAAAGTAGGAGATGTAATAGCTTTTTAAAATAGTAGAAAATTTATATTAATGCTTAAAAAATTATTTTTCATTATCTTGTACTATATGGCTTAAAAACATTGTAAAAAGCTTAAGCAATATTTTGATTCATTTTGTTCTGGAAAAGAAATTAATCGGATAATTTAAATTGTTAATACGAATTTGAAACTCGAAAGATTTTTATATATATAATCTTGACAAGAAATTATTTATGTCATAGAGTGTGGATGTATGGAAATTTTCTTGTAGTGTTAACAATCAACCCAAACACATTGTTTTCCTAATGTGTTATTTCCATTCGAGCCATTTTCCCATGAATTTTTTATACCCATTCTTTAGTTCTGATTCAGAAATGTGTTGTGTCGTAGAGATGAATAGGTATAGAGACGAATTAGAATCATGCTTGTTGTACAATGATTTTTACAACAAGTTTGACAACATGCTACGTGGTAGGTTATCCTTGGACAGTTAGAAAAATACTTTATCTTTCTCATCAACACTTTTTTGACACCTACACCATTGTCAAGCATGTTGTACAATGGCTTATTCCGCCGAATTAGTCTCAATGAATTTCTATGTCCTGGCACAAAGTAATTGTTCTTCATCTTCACGAGGCAATATGTAAATGTGAAAATTGATATGGCAACTGGTCCAGCTTATTGCTTGAAAACTGAATTTTCTAAAACCGGAACGGAACCCGGTCGACCAGCTGATTCAACAAGGAATTGGATGAATCAATCACAATTTTCACTGGGTTTTCCTTATCGCACTTTTTAAGTGTGTGCGTGTATGCTCTCCGTTGATTAACAAAAATCGTTACATTTCCATACTATAAATCCACTTAACAATTCTTAGTACGACAATGGTAATATATACTCGACAAAAGTTAATAAAGAAACAAGACAAATATACCATAATCAAACGACATAAAAGAAATGTAATACTTCCAAAGTTACAAAATGAACCAAACAAAGACAATATAATAAATCACCTCATGACACAATTTAGGGTGATAAAGTAAATTCTACATAAATACAAAGAAATTACGAATAGGACTAACATCATTGTAACAACATCAAGCTCATCGCCATTGTCCTCAACTTACCTGTCAAACAAGATTGAATGAGATACATCATTAATTGAATTGCTCTCCAATATTTTTATATACTTTTACTAGAGAAATTAAAATTTTATAGCATGTTTGGGAAGTGAGATTGAATATAATTGTATTATAAAAATAACCATTTATTTACAAGCTCTACTTCTTGTAGAAGAGTTTTCTTAAGTAAACTTCTTTTAAAAATTCTTTTAGTATGGCAAGAAATATCCAAATATGTTCTAGAAGCAGTTTCTTAGCTTTACAAGCAGGTTTTAACTTTTCAAAAGTAACTTTTTAGTCTTAAAAACGGCTTTTGATTTTCAAAAGCTCCACGCCCTACATCACTTTTACTTAATATGTTTATTCGTATCCAGTTTAGCATACTATTTTAATCATTATTAATGCAATATGATCTTACCATGGATTCATCAATTTTTGGTGATGGCATAAATAGCATAGATTATTCCAGGAATGTAACCGAATAAGGTCAGCAGCAAACAGATCCAGAATTCAACCTACAACCATTTTTCATAAGGAGAAAAATTATACGATGAATTAAATTATGCTTACAATGCAATTCTTTATTATAATTCAACCTCTAAGAGCCTGTTCGGAAGCGATTTTGAAAATTAATTTTTTGACCGTTAGGAGAAAAGTGGGGTCCACATGTGAGAGAAGAAGTCAAATATGACGGCTGAAATAATGAAATAACGGTCAAAAAATCAATTTTTTGAGAGAAAAATCATTCCCAAACAGGTTCTAAAAATGTGTTTATTGTACAAAACACAAGTTTATCAAGACTCAGACTTATCATCATCTATCAAACCAGACTATGTTCACCCCTACATACAAGTAAAGAGATCCATGCAACTAGATATAGAATTAAAGAATAGGTAAAAGATAGGAAACCTTGCAACCAAACTTAAGGAAGACACCAAGGGGAGGCAGAAGAATAGCCAAAAGAATATCAATGCAATTCAATGTGCCCTCATCTGCCATTTTAGCACCTTCGACCTTCAAGTTTTCACACAGAGAAGTCCCTTTTCAATGAAACTGCAAACTGAATTGGTGGGTAGGTGTAGATTTATAGGCGGTGGTAAATGAAGGAAAACAAGTAGTGAGTGTTTATCTGGTGGTGGCTGTACGTGAAAATCAAAATCCTCTCTGGCTTTTATCTTTCTTTTAGGATTCGGATCATCAAGGTCATGGACAGCTCACTCTCATTCAAAGAGCCCACGTTGCAAGTGGCATGTGGATCCAGATTGGTTACTCTTACCTAATAAACTTCAAATTAACGTCTATTCTATCCCGCACCATATTCCTAATACTATGAATTATGATAATTTAAAGGACCGAAAATTAATTTTCCTTTTGACTATGAATACAATAAATTTGATTGCCTTTATTATGTTCTATAAAGACTTTAATATGGTTCGTAGTATATTTCTTTATTTTTAATTTTCCTTTTGACTATTAATGCAATAAATTTGATTGCCTTTGAATTATGTTATATAATGACTTTAATATGGTTCGTAGTATATTTCTTTATTTAGCCCTGTTTGGTAAAAATTAAAATACAAATTTTAGTTTAAATCAAAGTCAACAATTAATTTCAATCACATATTTTATAGGACCCACAATTTTTTAATCAAATAATTTATTAATTTTTATCAAAATCTACTAAAATTTTGATTTTAATCCCACTAAATAGGGCTCTGAGTGATACTTTATTAATTTTTTTATAACAATCATCATCAATCTAAATTAATTGCTGATATTTTTAAATTGTTATGGGAAAATTGTGCAATTACATACAATTTGTCTAGATTTGATGATAATGAGACTCCATCATAAATATATATCTCATAAAAAAATACAAAATATAACAAAACATTTTTGTGAGTTAATTGTTTGAACTCAAAAGGAATTTCGTTGTAACTAAGTCTCAAATTAAATGTTTGTGAGTTGATTGTTGCCCTTTTTATGAGTAAATTACCTAAATGGTCATTGAATTTTGCAAAAAGTTTTCACGGTGTCACTGAACTTTAAAAATCATTCAATTCATCACTGAACTTTGCAAAATATTTCCACAGAGTCATTGAACTTTAAAAATCATCTCACTCATCACTGAACTTTGCAAAAAGTTTTCACAAGATCATTGAACTTTACAACAAGTTTTCCATCGATATAGTGATTCCTGGAAAATCTTTTGCAAAGTTTAATGATGAATTAGATGATTTTTAAAACTAAGTAATCTCGTGAAAACCTTTTGCAAAGTTCAGTAATGAATTAGTTGATTTTTAAAGTTCAATGACTTCGTAGAAATATTTTACAAAGTTCAGTGACCATTTGGTTAATTCACTCCCCTTTTTATTCATCATTAGACTTTGCCCGTGCAATGGCTTGGTTATTTTGAAGGTAGTATTATCATGTTAAATGTGTTGGATTATCGTAAAGTGCATTTTGTCTTATGCAGTTGTGAAATAAATAAATAAGTAAGTAAGTAACTCTAGCATAAAAATTCTCACAATGAACTAAGGAAGACAAAGATCTCTAGCAAAACTACATTTCCTATCCACTACATCACATGAGAATACCTAGAGGTTTTACCAAACTAAATTAGAGAAATTATCACACATGGTTGGAAATCAAACTTTGTCAACAACATTTTCAAACTTTCTCCCCAATTTAGGATTGGCCCTTAGATAAAAGGGGAGTGCTACATGTACATAATTGTCTACATAATTGTGTTCATAATTATACGTGGCACTGGATCCAACATTTAATTCAAATCTCATACTTGCACATCAACAACCGGATGATTATCACATCACATTATGGGCACCATTATGTGCAATAATTATGTACAAGTAGAATTTTCCTAGATAAAATTGATACAAATTGTTGAAAAGAAATGTCGAAGTGTAGAAGTCATCAAAGACAATGTTTTCAAATTCCTATATCTTAAAAGAACTTAAAATTAATTAAAAATTGAAGATTGTAATATTGATCAAATGGCAAAACAACTCATAAATTTACAATTACTTCAAAAATTATAACATTACTAACAACAAATAGAAACTCACCAAAAATGTGTATGATTGTCCGACAGAGAGGAATACTTGCTCTACCCATATTTGCAATAACCGGGGCCATCTATGATAAAAATAAATTGAAAACGAATTGTTCAAATATGGTAAGTTAAATCTCAAATAGATTAAAGGATTTTTAAAATCTTTTTACTGAAAGGAAAAAGAGACGAGAAAAGACTATAAAAAAGCAGGAAAAATGGTAAAAGAAGGGCAAAATGTGTTTATGCCGGTTTGTAGAGATAATAAAATAAAATAAATGGAATTAGTAATAAAACTTGAAGAAATATTTATATTATTCTTTTGTTTGGTTAGGGTAGAAATTCGTATCATATTCTCTTAATGTTACTTAATATGGTAAATTGTACCTTGAAACTATTCATTTCAATGTTCGACCAACTATCTTCAACTCTTTTTCTCCAGGTGATGAATTGGCCATTGATCGTTGAAGAATTGTGTTTGGAAAAACTATAAATCATGAAAGAAAAGACATTTAGAATTTTGAGTCATAGTATTATAATGAATGAAATTAGAATGGTTTAATAGAATTTAAAGCACGAGAGAATAATAATATTACTATTTAGAAGGTCAATAAAAAGATGTGGAACACATTTGAATGAGATTTGCTTTCTGAAAATGAACACAAGTAAGAATATGTGTCACCCAACATGCAAACATTTCGTCCACAGTCTGCCATTGAAGTGCTTGTGAAATATTTTTTGCTAAATTCAAAAACTAATTGTGAAGATGAATAATTAGAATTTGAAAAACGAATAAGCTAATTATGAATAGGAAAATAAACTTGTAAAAATTAATAATAATAAAAGAACAAGAATATTTAAGGATAAAAGTATAAACAATTATTTGGTTAATATACGAAATGTCAATAACTACAATATTCGAAAAAGAATTTCTTATCTAAGGAGTAAACTCATGAATATATGTATATATATATACATATGTATGTATATACATATGTATATACATATACATGTGTGTATATATACATATACATATACATATGTATATGTATATATACATACATATGTATATGTATATGTATATACATATACATGTGTGTATATGTATATATACATATACATGTATATACATATGTATATGTATATATACATATACATATGTATATACATATGTATATACATATGTATATGTATATATATATACATATACATATATGTATATACATATGTATATGTATACATATATATACATATGTATATATATATATATATACATATACATGTGTATATGTATATATATATACATGTGTGTATATGTACATATACATATACATGTGTATATGTATATATACATACATATACATGTGTGTATATGTACATATACATATACATGTGTATATGTATATATACATACATATACATATACATATGTATATACATATACATATACATATGTATATGTATGTATATATATATATATGTATATATATATATACATACATATACATACATATCTATATACATATATGTATATATATACATATATGTCTATACATATATTATATACATATACATATACATATGTATATACATATACATATACATATACATGTGTGTATATACATATACATATACATATGTGTATATGTACATATACATATACATATGTGTATATGTACATATACATATGTATATGTATATACATATACATATGTATATGTATATATATATATGTGTGTGTGTGTGTGTGAACATTAGAATTATGTACAGCGGAAAAGTGAGATGAAATAATACATAAAGCATTAGATTAAAAGAAAGCTATTTGTAAAACAATAAATCACTTACCTCATGAGCTTCTCTGATAACACTTTCATCTTTTTTTCCAATTGTTTGTAAGTTATTCCATGCAAATTTGATAGCTTCATCGATGACTTTAATTGCACAAATTCATGAAGTTTTTCAATAATGAACAAGGAAGCCAAGTTATAACTCTACGAATGTATGAAAGAAAGGATTTCCTTGTAGACAACATTCTTAGTACATGTATTGTGTAAGTTTTCAGTAGTTGATGGTTTCACCAAAACTTTTATCTTTGTACTTGTTCTAGCTCATGATAATGTTACATAAAGTTGACCATGAAAAAAAGGGGTTCTGGAAAATACAAACCAACAAAATCAACTGTTTGGCCCTATAATTTTTTTTATTGCCATTGTAAAGTATGGTCTAATTGAAAATTGAGTTTTTTTAAATGGAATTGAGTTTCGATCTGTCTTAAGAGGTATAAAAGGAATCCCAATAAGAAAATATATTTTTTACAATATTCACCGGTTGTGATTTCAGCAGAATTACATTCTTCTCAAATTCTCGATAAGTAAGGCGTGCCCTATTGCATAAGCCTTCAAAATGATTAATATTTCTCAATAACATTGTAGGAAAATTTACCTTAATATTCAATTCATTAGGTGGAATACTATATGGGGTCAAACTATTCAAAAAATCTTCTTGGCAAGCTCTATTATCATTTCTCAAGTGTTTCGTCGAAGCTAAAATATGTGAAAATTAGACCTAGAATTTGTTCGAGTAAAATTCTGTTAATATGATCAACACATTCATTTGTGGGCATAAAAATAACTCGATTTGCCATCACACACTTCAATATTTGGGAAATAATAATTTATCAATTTTTTAGAGACTGAATTTTGTCCTCAAATCGTAAAGTGATATTCTCTGGAAGCTTGATGTAGTTACAAGTATCTTCTTTTGTTCTATCTCCAATTCTAAGTAAATAATCACAAAATGTGGGATCCAATTTAACCCTCATATTCTCAATCAATGGTAGATGTATAAACAAAGGTCATATGTCAGAAAAGGCTAAGCTAGCTTTCATTATATCTTTTTTTTTTCCCTCTCGACACAATTGGTAAAACTTGTCGAAAATCTCCTCCGAGAATAACCACTTTGCCACCGAAAGGCAAATTGCAATCGGTAATATCTCTCGACATTTTATCTACAGCTTCAATAGAAGAACGATCCACCGTGGGTACTTCATCCCAAACTATTAACTTACACATTCTGAGTAATGTTCCTAAAGCAAATTGCTTGCTAACAAAGTAATTTACTTCACCATATGTATCTAAAGAAATTTTAAATCTAGAATGAGTTGTTCAACCTCCAGGTAATAGAGATGCAGATACTCCAGAAGTGCAGTTTCTAAAGCAATCAAATTTTGAAATCCCACAGCAGTAAGAAATGCTTTATATAAAAATATTTTACCTAGACCATCAATAAAGAAAGCACCACTTGATTCTAATTTAACTTTTTCCATAATCGCATCATATGCAAACTGTAATTCTTTATTTAAACTCGCTGCACAAGCATAATCTCCTTTGATATCCAAATTGATCATCTCATCTATAACCATTCTTCTCAACCTTTCGTTCTCATCTATATTTACACTGAATGGAACTATTTCATAATCATTTATGATTTTACCCAATGATTTTAGAAGACCACCAATATCCTGTAGAGCATGTACTTTAGCAATTCTGTAGGTATATTTTCATGTAGATAATCATCTGTCATATAAGCATTAAATTTATCTTATAGTAATTTTGGATGATTAGGGTTGCAAAGCGTAAGTAGTATAGCAAATAGTCATTTTAAAGAAGTTGGCATTTTGTAAACAATATCTTCAAATAAACATTCTTTACAATGATTATCTCCGCTTAATAAACCATGTAGAAGTATAGCCTTTATATAAGTTGTAATAGTTACCCCATTTAAAGTTCGTAAATCAAGAAATGATGTTGGTCCTTGAATATGATTAAGAAGAATGCAGAGAAAATAGCATTCTCCTTCAAAAGGATTTGCTGTGACAATTCATCCTATAACAATTTGCTTCTTTTTCGGAGTCCAAATTTTTATATTAGTATTCCGAACAAAATGTGTAGGAAAATCTCGATACAACAATGTTCGAGTAAATTCACTTGTTTGATTCATTCGAAAGATTTCTATCAACATTGTTCTCTTCGTATTTTCGTTCTCAATGATAGTAGATAAATTATCATAACTATTATATGTAACTTATTGGTGATTTTCAATATGAGGCCGTAAAGAATAAAAAGTAGGACAACTTTCTAACAAATTGAAAGAAAAATTCTCCACATAGCTTCAAGTGGAGATATCTATCTAGCAAATTGATAAGCTGAAATTTCATCAATTTCTTTCTCTACTTCATTTATGCCAATTATGAAATTAATACGATCATATCATTTGTATACATATTTGTACAAATATTTTACAACTTTAATAGAAGAGCATACTTCAACATTAATATGACAATCAAATTTCGCAATTAAATAAGGTTTATATGGTACAATCTAGCGATTGTCCAACATTTGACCTCTAATTTTAACAGAGATGTCATTATTGCTACGCTTATATAACGGATATGAGTTATCACCAAATGTAGTTATATTGCAATAATCCCTAGGGTATTTATTTTTACAACCTTTAATTTCTTCCATGTATACACTTTTAGGATTAAGGTTTCCACAAGGACATGCATATTATGTTTAACAATAACAAAATAAAGATAAGGGTATATATTTTTGTCAGGAATTTTAGAACATACTATCGTGTTGACCTGTTCAACACAACAAATTTTATGGCCAGATTTGAAAATCAATAATAGATGCACATGAAGGAGCCCCGTTTTTTAAATTCAATCGTATATTCATGTGCAACAACAGGGCCTAAGATTTATTTTTTTTTGTATAAATAATTTCTTAACTCTTCTAAGTTTGCTTAAAATATACGTGCAATTAGATTTAATCGATTTTGAACTTCATCATTATGCTTTAGTTCCTGCGTAAACTCTAAGCAATTTGGATTACATGTCCTAGTAAAAAAATTGTCTTATTTTCTATAATGCTACACAATAGACATCACATCCATGTATCTTCTTAGCAAGTTTCTAAGCCCACATGTAAATGATTGTGGTAGGAAAAATTTTCTTCCAATTTTGTACCCTCTCATTTCCCCATTTTCAACACTAGTTACAATACCTTGATATAGTTCAACATGGATTTTTTTTAGTTATTCGGAAAATAGTCTAACCTAGCAATTTCAATCTTAACATACATATCCACAACAAAATGTTGAAATAATCTACAAGTGTGCAGTAATAAGACTTACCAGATAGCCTAATTTGGAATTTGTATGAATAGTATTCTCAACAAGAGACCTGAGACCGTTTTTTCGTTCCATTAAGCACTGCATGACGAAAAAGGTCAAAATTATATACTCATTTATTAATTTACATTGTAGAAATTTGAACTATAAAAAAAATATATGCATAAACCTTTATTCTCTTTTTCAATAATTTCAAAAGCGAAAGTTACTGTACTAGGAAAACCATCTACATCAGACACATGTTGAGACTGAAAATATTTGTTGTTGCATCTCTTAATGCCTTAATGCCAACCAGATTCTCCATATGAAAAAAGTAAAGGATATCGTAAAGGATCATAACAACCTCAGTAGTAATGAACCTTATGTGAATCACCAAAATGGCTATAAATAGTAATGTCTCACGAACATTTGCATTTTCATCGTCTTCGACTCATACAACAACAACTTGAGACGTCATAGGAGCATTGAAAACTCTTTGATCAAGTCCCAGATCACATCTTATTTGTATTCGATGATCATGCAAATTCGTTATATTACTTAAAGACCTAAAGAATCTACTATACGGTTTTAATTTAAGGATTTCAATTAAACTAATCAAAAAGATTGAACAAAATTCTTCGAAATTTTCATACGATTCTTAACTTTGTTACCTGTGTCATAAAAATATAAGTGCATATAAGAAGGCGTATTATTTTCTGGCATAGGTGGATTTACGTAATGATATACTTGACCTTGAACCCTAAATGTGTAGATACCTCTGTATGATTTAAACAGTTCTTTGTCATACTTTACCCCAAATGAAGTGAATGCAAATTGATTATTATATCCCCAGACAATTTTTTTGAATTCCGTACATGCAGATTCTTTAGAAGTAAATAGATTGTATAGTTGGTTGGTAGATCAAACACATTGAGTTAAACTTTCCCATCAGAACAACAGAAACCTTTACTTTCTCTATAGAATTTTTTTTGAACCACAATCATTACAATATGTGCATGTCAGTAATGCATACATGGTACATTTAATTGATTAGAACTTTCTTGTAATTCAGTATTGCATATGTTCATTGCTTCATTGTTAGAAATGGAAGGCTTAGAATGATGGTATGCTATAGGTTCGTGTACATGGACAACGTGAGAGTTATTATTTGTAGATAACATAGGCTAAATTACTCTTTTATGATGATTAATGAATCCAGTTTCAGCTTGATGTCGTCAATCTCTTCGTCTTTGATTTCGTTGTTGATGAATTAATGCATCATGTGACTGACTTATAGTTTTAAAAATAGTTTGAATGTTACACAAACGGAACTCTCAATGAACACATGGTTCCATTATGTCAATCAATAAAGGAAGAAAAATTATCAAGTACTTGGAGCAGAATGTAAGCAACAACAACCACATGAAGAAAAAGAAAAACTATTACCATATATGTTACGTCATACATAGTTTAAATATGAACATTGGAGTAGAAGAATCCATACCCAAGATAATGAAAGTATGATTAAATGGCAACAATAGGTAAAAATTTTAGAACCAACATAATATGGAGTGCATTTTTTGTAAAATATATAGCAACATAGACAAAAAAAAATTGCATAGAAGAAAATTTGTTGGGAGAAAATTAGTCAAATTACAAATATTTGAAAGGTTCTTAATTTTTGACCATAAGTAAGAGGAAAATAGTGAAAAACGTCCATGTCTTCCATGTTTATTGTGAAAAACGTCTTTACCTTTCATTTTTTGATGTTTTTGCCTTTATTTCAACATTTGGTTGCGCAAAACATCCTTTTCCCCATTTTTGAAAGTAAAATGACTATTATATCCTCTTATTTAAAACAAAAAACCAAAAAAAGAAAAGAAAAATAAAGCACAAATTGCAATCATATTCCCAAACGTTTTAAAAATATATAAATCAGTACAATAAATTATAAAAATTAACAAAACCATCTCTTTCTTCTCTCCTCTCCCTCTTCCTCCCCTCCTTCTCCACCACTAAAACTCCACCCTCCGACCACCTTGGGCGTCGGACCAACATACCACCTTGAAGCTCTCACTTCCCTCTTCGAAACCTACCAAGCTCCGTTCAAAAGTCCAATCGAGACCCCAATTATAGCTATTACTGCTTAGTGCACCTGTAATCTACTTATTTTTAAATTAAATAGGCTGGAAATTGAGGGTGAAATTCAAAAACTAAAACACCCACATGTTTGAGTAGTTTGATTTCAAGATTCTATCAAGACCCTTTGTGGCAATTTGTGTTGTCAAGTTCTTTGTTGGTTTTTTTTTATTTGATATCTATTCTTAAAAGAATCTTAGCTTAGTTTGTTTCAATATATTTCTCCAATTGGGTTTTTTGTGGATAGCTAGAATATTTATAGGAAGTCGTAGGGAATTGAAGAAAGCTGGAATCTTAGAAAGTTCTTGATTCTTCCTTCAATGTGGGTGTTCAATTCTTGGTCTTCAGCATGGAGGGTCGTGGAGCGTTGACGGTGTGGGAGCTTTTAGATTCACATGACAATAGCAAGAATTCAGAAGGGGCTCAATTTGATATTGTTAGATTGATATGAATATAGCTAGAGTCAGAAAGGGTTTCAATTTGATATTGTTTGAAGTTGCTTTTCCTGGTTAATTTCTTTGTTAGATGAGTTTATTCCATGTAATTGGATTTGGCTTGAAGATGACGTATCAACTTTTGATGTCATGTTGCTGGTTTTTGTCTCTTATTTCTTTGAATTTGCTGAGTAAAGGTGGAGTCATGACTACCATGACCAATTGGCTTGGTGGTGCAGGGTAGATATGGATAAAATTGTGGGATTTGATTATGAAAATTGGTTATAAGTTTCACCATTATTATTCCCAGTATATCAGGTCGAGGAAAGTTAGGAAAAACTGGCGGAGGAACCTTTTAGCGGCATGGATTAGGTTCCGGATCGTAGCATTAGTTTGGGTGTTCTGGTACATGAAGATTTTGAAGGAGTGTGGAGTTTTGGTGGTAGAGGAGGGAGGGGAGATGAGAGAAGAAAGAGACGATTTTTTTAATTTTTATAATTTATAGAACTGATTTATATTTTTTCAAAATGTTTGGGAATATGATTGCAATTTCTGCTTTATTTTTCTTTTTCTTTTTTTGGTTTTTTGTTTTAAATAAGAGGGTATAATGGTCATTTTACATTCAAAAATAGGGAAAATGATGTTTTGCGCAACCAAATGTTGAAATAAGGGCAAAAATGTCAAAAATGAAAAGTATAGACATTTTCCACAATCAAAATGAAAGGTAGGGACGTTTTGTGTCAATTACCCTATTTGAAAGGTTCTTAATTTTTGACCAAAAGTAAGAGAAAAATAGTGAATGAAAAATAACATTGCACATTACCTGCCAACAAGAAGAGAAGAAATTGGATTTTAGATGTATTGTAATCTAAGTTGATATCTGAGAAAATTAATAGAAAAAGGAGACATAATGTTTTTAGAGAAGCATTACATAGTTGAAGAGAAAATTCATAAAATATGAAATATGATTAAAAATATAGGAAGAGCATAAGAGGAGTAAATTATGTTACAATTTACTTCATCATCACTATAGTTACACTTGCATTTTTTATTTGTATCTAGTTTAGTTATAGGATTCACATGCATAGTTCAGGTGAATAAATGGACTAATAAAAATATGTGAGCATAGAAAATAGAGGAAACATGAAGCTAGTTACTAACAGAGGAATAAAGTATGGAAATCTTAGAAAGATTATTAATAGTAGAGGAGACAAGAAGCAAGTTACTCTTAGCCACAATTTCGCCTGAAGGATTATTTCAAGCAAAATCCCCTCATTTATTTGGGCAATTTGTAGGAGTATAAGTATGCCATCTAATTGGAGAATTCTCAAGAAGAATATCTCTAAGTTCATTCAGCTCAAAGGTTTGAGAAGTTCTAATTGAACCAATGTATGCATAAATTGAAAACATCAAGATTTGCTTTACTATAGAACAAGCCTTGCCAATTGACCAATGATGTGGCAAAATAATAAACAAGAACACCGAGAGAATATGCATAACAATGCAGTGAACTTGATGCTACAAATATTATTAACCATAAAATTTTATATCTTTTAGTTTTTATTTTTAATAGTGTACTTTAGCCATTAGTTCAAGCCAATTTTTACGATACAAGAAGTGAGCATGAGAAATATGAGGTATTTTATTATCAGAAGATCAATCATGCTGTATGAGTTAAAATCATCTAAGTGAAGCTCTTCTTTAACATTCTCACTAAGTTTTTTTTTCAAGAAACCTAAAAAGAAAATTGCGAACTCCACAATTTCGAGACTAAACGTATAATAGCCTTCATAATTAGTAATACAAATGTAATGACCACAAATAGTTTCAAAATGCAATGTGAGTTTGCCTTCTCTTTGCAATAATAAATCAAATCTTACCCAATAAATTTGAGGTCGACTAAATAAATCTTCTCTATACATGTAGATTTAACAAAATTTTATATATACGAGGAGTTCATAAGAAGAGAACTGATCACAATATGAAAGAATTTGGTCCAATTATGCATATTTTAAGCCCTTTATGAGGATGACACTAACGCATCTACAAAAACATACAATCCAAAAAAGTAGAGATCACAGAAAGGAACACAAATTCAACCTTGATGTGAGCAGTTCATTTTGTGTTCAATTCATCTGTCAACACATAAGAAAGAGGACTATTCTAATTCATAGATACAAAAGGGTCCTTTGCTTATAAGGTCATGCTCATGCCAAAGAACAACTTTTTATTCAAATCATGCTTATGAATATTTGCGAAAATTAGCAACTGATTTGTACTGAATGGAAGTTGGATTGCCTAAACTTGAACTAAAGATAGAAAATTAAAAAAAAAACAAAATATTAACTCATAAACACGACAAGAGGCACCTACAAAAATTTTAGCAATTCAGTACTAAATTTAAATTTCCTTAGAATCAATACATGAACCTCAGAGATAGATTCAATGTAAATCACAAACCAATCAAAATTTTCTCTTTGGAAAACTAGCTAATATATAAGCCTCGTGAAAATCCACCATAAAAGAGAAGCAAAAAATAAAATCAATTTATCAAGAAAGAACTAAAAAAATCTAGCACTGTAAACTCAATAATCCATTTGAAATTCAGAAAAAAAAATAGCAATAACAAAGATGAGACAATTTTAATCACAGAAAGCATAAAATTAAATTGAAAAATTATATAACTCTCTCTGTTTAACATATAAGCCTCACGAAAATCCATCATAAAAGAAAAGTAAAAGATAAAATCAATTTATCAAAAAAGAACTAAAAAAACTAGCACTATGAATCCAATAATCCATTTGAAATTCAAAAAAAAATAACAATAACAAAGATAGACAATTTTAATCACAGAAAACATAAATTAAATGAGAAAAGTATATACCTCTCTCTGTTAATATTAACACACAACTTGTCAATTTAACAAACTCAAAATTAGAACTGTACACATAAATGATGAAGAAATCACAGTTAGATTAAAAATCCGTTGGAAATCACAACAAGACGAATTGAAAAAAGTTAGAAAACAACCCACTATACTCATCGATTAGAAATCACAACAAGATGAATAAAATCAATGCAATCGCCAGATGAAGAAATTGCAGTGTGGTCGTCTCTTTCTCCTTTTTTTAACTATCTCAAGAAAGAAAATTAGAAACCAAAGAAATTCAAGAAAGTAGAAGAAAATGGGAAAGCAAAGATGAACATAATTTTTCCACCACATACATTACTGACCACATTAAAGCAGCCCATTTCCCAACACACAATGGGCCCACACATGTTGAAAAATTGTACGTAATTACGTGTGTGATATGAAAGCTTTTTAACATGATTTAACTAAAAAATTGGGGAGACAATTATTGCCTCCCTCTAGTAATTAATTTACCATAATTACCCTCAAATTTATAGTTGACATTTTTCCATAATTGTTCATATCAAGGGTAAGATAGGAATTATCATTGAAGTCAATTTTGACAAGCCAAAAGCATCTTACTTGTATTTGTCTTCTCAATAATCCCATAATAATAATGGTAGGCAAAATCCCTACTATATAAAAAAAGGAATGGAAGTTACTCTAGTTAGGAAGAGTGAATTCTTTCATTTTATCACATAGCAAAATGACTTTTTAACTGAAAAATCGTTGGAGCAAAAAATGTCTTGTTTTCAATCAAATCTATTTTCACACGCCACTTCACTTCAAATACCACCTTTATCGAAATATTTCTTCATTTTCACACACCACTTCACTTCATTCAATCCAATACTAATAAATAAAAAAAACTAAATAATTTAACAAATTTAAAAATAACAAAAGAATTGTAGGCAAAAATAGGTTCTTATATAGTTTTTTTTAATTAAATTGATATAATTAAAATTAAATATTATTTAATTAAAATTGAAAAAAATATGTTTTCTCATAAAACGAAAAGAATTAAGAAGAATTTTAAATCTAAAAATATACTTATAATATGAAGAAAAAAGAAATTAAAACAATTTCAAAAAAATATAATAAAT